CCCCAAAACCCCAAAACCCCAAAACCCCAAAACCCCGGTTTTATGCGAAAGGATTGAGACTTAGTTGTTATCATTTACATAGACATCCATAATTCATACCCGTTTTTCTTCATTTCTGAAATAATATTTCGAACAGACAAACCTGACAGTTTTCTGAAACCTTGCAGCAGAGGGTTGTAGCTTTCAAAACTGTACTAAATCTAGAACCCAAATCTCAAAACCACATTGCCTAAGAGCTCTGGATCAGAATTTTATGAGTGCATACGTTTAGAAATTTTCGAAAGATTCTTGCTTACTTCTACAAAGGGGTTTTAAAGAGGTGTTTTTACTCATATCCAGACTTGATACACTATATTGTCGACTTGGGATATATAATTCCAGAAATTTTAGTTAATAATCTCCATTTTTATTGTGTTTATTGCTGAAGGTCTACAATAGGGGACTAATGGCCCTGTAGAGAGTTCGATGACTATGAACAGTTTAGATTTTGAAATAGTTCATTCTGAGTTATTAGTTTGAAAAACAAGTACACCTGAGAAGCATCGTTTCTCAATTTTCGAACTGACCGGTAGATTCTTAAGCTGAATTTTTATGAACATTTTGAAACTTAATCCTCTTTGTAGGTTTCAGTTTTAGTGGTATCAGGAATAAACCTGAGTCGATTTGGACATTCGGTAGTAATACAAACGGCGAGGCGCATTCTTGGAATCATTATAATCCTAACTTGTATATTTCTACTGAAAAGATCATCTAGTAATAGATGGATCTAGAATTTTAGCTAGGAGACTTTTAGTTACCTAATTTTGAGCCGCAGCTCAATGATTTCATCGAACTTGATACAGCCACAGACTTGGTAATCCAGACCTGCAAAGAATTCTTTCCTAGAGCCTACTATCCAGCAGGTTATGGCCTCCATGAAAGTTAGGCATCATATATCTATTATCTAAGAAAAACATAAAATATTATCACATATAATTTTCTTTCTAAAAAGAAAAAATATTGGCTCTATAAGCCAGCCTATAGCAGTGTCTTGGGAATTATGCAAAATCTACGACGTTCGTTAACAGACTTTGGAATTAAATAAAAATTGTTAATGATAAAAATTGGTTGATGTAAGCAACAAAATTCGTTCTGAAAGGTGATCTGCCATAAAACTCCCTCATTTCAGCACCAAAAGTATATCCCAAGGGACAGTTTATGAAAAATTTGGTATTTATGCTACCTGATGGAATTGATATTAATCTGGATGAAAAGTTGTATAAACATGTCATTAAAATTTACCTAGAGTGTTCATACCTCTTCTACAAAATGAGGCTTCTAAAGTGCAGTAATCCAAAAAGCCTTCAAAAACAACAAACTGATTGGGTGAAAGGCAGGTAAACTAGAAAGAGTGTTATAGTTAAATTCTTAGTATTAATAATGTATTATATAACTGATGGCCAAAGGCCACTTTTATGGGTATTCTACTGGCACTCAAAATGGTAATCATTCATAGCGACAGGCAGGTTTATCTGGAAGATGCCTTCTCCTGTAAGAAACTCATTGAGAGAGGTCTCTTTCAAACTGCTCTTCAAGCCTTTAGGCTTGACGAAAATGTAACTAAGATTTCCCTCGGTCGTTCATGAGTTCACCGTCTTCACTGAAGCAGGGCTATTTTCATTGCTCACTGCTTTCATTTCCTGAATCATCTGGAAGGGATTCAGGGATTTCTTCTGCTCAGTACTAACTGTCAACAAGTTGAGGTTCATCTTTCTTCTCTTACTATACGAAAAATTTAGATCATGAAACTTGGTAATTTTATGTAGCAATTAGGAAGTTTTAAACTTACAGTAAAAGTTTGCTGACTGGATTACTAGCAGTTCTCTTCTCGCCTAGCAATCAGATTTCGATTTCCTTGGCTGAGCAAGTAGGCTTCCCTTTTTGCTTGCGGATTTCAGGGGTCAAACAAGGCAGAACACAATTATTAGCGCTTGCCTTTTTAGTATGGGTGATTGGAGTTAAAGCCATGCTTGGTTAATTAAATTAGATAGAATAAATTAATTATATAGTCGGGGTTTTGGGGTTTTGGGGTTTTGGGGTTTTGGGGTTTTGGGGTTTTGGGG